CAGGCGGGCAGCGCGGAGGCCTGGCTTCCGGAGGCGGCTGGGCGGGTGCCCGCCGACCGGAAGTGGGCGTCTCCGGGAGCGCGCGGCTGGCGGCCCCGGAGGTCGGCGTGGCTCGGGGGCGCGCGCTTTTTGGCTGCAAACCGACGGCGGCGAGCGCGTCCCACGCCCCTCCCGCTGTGCGTTAACCGAGCTGCAGGCGAGCACATCGGCCGCCCCGCTGGAACCTCTGCGCCCGAGGTGAGGAGACCGCGGAAGGCTGCAGCGCTCGCTGGGTGTTTTCCAGGGAGGATGTATTCAGCGTTGGAACTTGCGTGGATTAGTAATTCGGGGGTTTGATTTTGAAAATGTAATGTCGTTATTCCACAATCTTAAAAATATTCACGTTTTTATACAGCTATGTCAAATTGCTAGGCTCCTCAAATTAAGTTCTGGGAAGTTTTTGTGTTTGCTTTTTTTGCGTTATTTTATCATTTTAATTTAAACAAATACTTTTAAATGGTAGTGTCTACTTTTTAAAGGAAGCTTTTGGGGCTAGGGACGTAGCTCAGTGGTAGCGTGCTTGTGTAGCACATGCAAGGCTCTAGGTTCAAGTCCCAGCACCGCCAAATAAAATGAAGAGCGCGTTTGTATTTGCACCAGACTCTGAATTTCGCTCTGCTGCACTGCTAGAGATACCTTACTTGGGTTCAAACTAGGTAGATTAATGATAAATATTTCCATTGCAAGTGGCTTTTCTTCAGAACGGCTTTATTTTCAGGAAGGTATGACTGGAAGAGGGAAATAATCGAATCTCAGCAACTAATTTCCAGCATTCTCTTAACTCACCAGTGTCAGCTGCCATTTGAGCCTGTGTTTTTCTGTTCTGCCTTTGAAAATAAATTCTTTTCTCTTGTACCGCCACAAACCTGAAATTACTCAGCTGATTTACAGAGAAACCTCTTACCCTTTTTCAAAGAGTTTCATAATTTTTTTTTTTTTTTTTCGGGATTGAACTCAGGCCCTTGCCCTTTCCCTTGCCAGAGAAGCGCTTATTCTACTGAGCCGTCTCCCCAGCCCTGGAAATGTGTTAGAGAAATTGAAGTTTATTTTCCATTGGATCAGTTTCCAGAGACTCAAATTTTCCCACTTCGCACCCCAAGGAGGGAGATAGGTACTCTAGTAAGGACCTTCTCCTTTCAAAACATGACAATGCCACATTGCAATTTTCAGGCTTGGACAGCATGAGGGCCATATTCAGTACTAAAGGCATTCTTTCAGTATGAAATGTAAACAGAAGTTTAAATCTGGAAGAGTCGTGTAACTAGAAAATGTTCCTCTGCCCCATTTCTTTTGTTATCTTGAATACTAGTCTCATACCTGTATGCTAACCCATGTGTTTTCAGGTGAAGGTCTGAGTCATTCACTGAGGAATCACTTAGTGAGTATGGACCACAGGCCAGGCTCTGCAGACTCC